CTGTTGCAAAACCCACAGTTGGTGGCCGTGTTTGGTTATCTGGGGATCATTCTCCCCCCTTCTCCATTCATGTCTGCTCAGGATGTGCCTGCCCGTAGATCTACTCTATCTCCCTAGAGTCCTGTGCGCTAGCACCCTCTATAAGACAACAGCTATTGTTTGTTTTTGTTTTGACGTTAAGCCAGCAGACTCGCCAGACAAACCACAAGAGATGGCTACAGTTGAAAGCAAGTACCAGGTGACCATCTTCCTGGTTGGAAGCATCCCTACTTGATAACTCTCTGCTAAACCTACCTGGACAAGGCCCTCACACCAGCCTGACACACAGCAAATAGCACCTCCCGGCTCACCACCACATCTTCTCAGCCTGAGAAAGGACCAGAGTGCAAACTGGAGCTTCTGTGAAGATGAGAGAGCTTACGGCAGGAACAAGCATGGAACTCTCCAGCTTTGGGCAGGGCCTGTAAGGACTGATCAGCGCATGGCAGGGAAAGGGCAGCTTCACAGAGCTACATCCAGATGGCCCAGGACCTGCCAGGAAGGACATTCTGATTGGCTGACAGGCACAGAGGCATGCTTTTAACACACAGAGACAGGATGCTTGCTGTACCCGTTGTTTTGCTAGAGGTGAAGTTTCTGTTATTGAACAGCTTATGCTCCGGACACTTTGAAGACCAGCTGGAGCGAATGCTCTTCCTGGGGGCTGTGAGAGGATGGGGAGACAGAGGGGGATTGGGGTGGGAGCAGGTTTTTTTTCCCCTTTTGTAACTGTTTTTAATAGTGAACTGGGTGACTGGCTAGCTGACTTGTGAAAGTCAGCTCAGAATAAGCAGTACACAGAAAAAGAGGAACAAAAAGGAGTCTGGCCTGCCTCTGGCAGAAGCCTCCTCTGATGCTGAGCACCGAGTTCTTCTGAGCCTTCACACGGCCATGCCTTCTCTCCGGTTCCAGGGGCACCTCCCGGTGCAGAATGGCTCCCCTCGGGACAACTCCAGCCAGAACCGGTCCCCATTCTGCACTGCACGCTCCTCGGCCTGATGGAGAACTGAGTGGCTACTCCCTGGGGCTGCTTCCTCCCACACAAACTGCCGGGAACACGGTGCCTTCTGGAAGATTCCAGACTGGCTGGGAAACACAGATCCTCAGTTGCTGTCCCGTTACTGAAGGTTCCACTGGATCACCTGGCACTGAACCAGGGACAAGCTCATTTGAATATGAAGATGAAATCATTAGCGCTTGCCTGCTTCAGCTATCTCCACCGGCATCCCTGGGTGGCAGACGGTGAAGCCCTGAGCTACCAGCCGAAGGTTGGCCCTGAGAACTCACCCAGAGGAGCCTGGTAAGACAGGCCAGGGACCTCCTTCTGAAAGGTCACAGCATGACAACCCCATGGGGCACAACCTGTCGCCATGGCTTGGGCTCAACCTGATGGCGCCCAGCTTGTTTTTTAGGACATTGGTTTTGTAAAATTAGTATCCTGAAAAAAAGGAGCCTGGTGGTATAGTGGGTTACATGATGGGCTGCTAAGCCCAAGGTCAGCGGTTCAAACCCGCCAGCAGCTCCCAGGAGAGAAAGGGGAAGCGGTTTATTCCCATAAACATTTACCGTCTCAGAAACCCTACCATGCTACGCTGCTCTGCCCTCTGGGATGGCTATGAGTCAGAACTGACTTGACAGCAGGGGGTTGGGATTTGGGGTTCATCGTCTCAGCAGTGGGTGGCATCGTGGTTATACGTTGAGCTGCTAACCACTAGGTTGGCAGTTCGAAACCACCAGCTACTCTGAGGGAGAAAGCTGAGGCTTTCTGCTCCTGTCAACAGTGACAGTCTTGGAAGCCCACGGGGCAGTTCTGCCCTGAGCCACAGGGTCACTATGAGTCGGAATTGACCTGATGGCAGTGGGCTGGTTCGATGGTTCATTGGTTGGGATTTATAGAGACTGCCATGCATGATGCTGGTACTACCAACCATTCCTATAACAAAATAATTCCCATTAGAATTAACGTTTCATTGTTGCAAATGAAGTGCCAGGGAATAGAGGAGAGGTAGATGAAGACTTCATCATTTACATTTGGAAGTCTATCTGCTCATCCGACTGCAGGCTTACAGGTCCCCAGAGCAACAACATCCACAGCACCTGGAGACCTGTTGGCAATCATAGGCTTGGGCCTCCCTCACCCCAGCCCAGGGGAATGACCATCTCTGGGGAAGCAGCCAAGCCATCTGTGCTTTCACAAGCCCGCCAGATGGGTCCCACGATGGAACGCGAGGAGAGCCAGTCGTCTCCAAAACCAGAGTCCTGGCCATCGGGTCAGTTTCGACTCAGAGCAGCCCGACAGGACAGAACTGAGCTCCCCTTTAAACTCCGGCTCTACAGAAGCAGACAGCCTCGCCATTTTCCCGTGGAGTGGCTGGTGGGGCTGAACCGTGGACCTTGTGGTTGGCATCTTGAGGACTGGGACTCCTCCAGAAAAGTCTAATCGATTTTAACTGTGAGGCAGGACTCAGAGTGGCAAAATGTTACACCGCTCTGGATCAGGCAGAGAAAATGTTTTCTTATATGACAAAATACCCATTTATAAACTATCAAGGGCTCATGAGGGAGTGGGGAGCGGGAGGGAGGGGAAAAATGAGGACCTAATGTTGGGGGTTTAAATGGAGAGAAAATGTTTTGAGAAACGATGTACAAATGCGCTTTACACAATTGATGTGTGTATGGATTGGGATAACAGTTGTATGAGCCCCTAATAAAATGTTAAAAAAGAAAAAATAAATAAATAAAATATATCAACTTTAAAAAAAAAAAGAAAATGTTTTCTTATTGATGTCCCTACATTTTAATGTGGCTGCTATTCAGAAACACTTTCTCAAGGAGCTTACTGGCATGACTGAAGGATTTCTCCAACAAACTAAATTGGTAACCCCATTAAGAAGGCTGTTTGGGGTTCGCCTTGTGGGAACAATAGCAAATGTTTACAGACAGGAAAACAATGCACCCCCCCAGGCAAAGCCTGTGCAGGCTGAGTGCGGCTGGGTCAAGAAGAGAGGGAACTAAGTCAGCAGCCTCTAACCCCAACAATCACATGGGCATCCAGGTGACGAGTCCGTATACCGTCTCTATAAACCTGCAAATCCCTGTGCGGAGATTTGCCAACGGAGAGAGAAGCCTGTTCAAAGACCTGGCCGGATCCCAGCCACAGATGGGCATTTGCATGCCTTTGTAGGAAACAGAAAAATACCTTTAAACTGTTTAATCATGTTCTGATGGTTTTCGATGGCTTCTTTCAAGATCATTTCAGGCTGGTCCATCTTCCACCGCCATTCAGTGCCCACTGGGTTGGTGTGGTGCCTGGTAACAAGATGCACAAGTCTTAGAACAGTGGTTCTCCACTTTCCTCATGCCACGACCCTTTCATACAGTTCCTCGTGTGGTGGTGACCCCACCCCCCAGGCATAAAACTGCTTTCGTTGCTACTTCATCACTGTCATTTTGCTACTGTTATGAATCAGGCGACCCCTGTGAAAGGGTTGTTCGATGCCCAAAGGGGTCACGGCCCACAGGTTGAGAAGCGCTATCTTAAAGGGTGGTAAATCCTCAGGACAGTTTCTTCCTTGGCATTCAGTTGTTTAGAGAGAGCACTATTTTCGGCACCGACACCTATCAGAGAGGAGTGGGCAACGAAGTCACCTAGCATCTCTGCTCAGCCCCCCCCCCAGAGCTCCAGGTCCATGTGGATGGAATACTCTGCACATGTCGGTCATCTTTGGGTGCTTCCTGCATCATTCCCTAGTTTGCCCACAGAGAGAACCCTTCAGGATGGCAACTCCTGCTCGTGGAGTTGGGGAACAGGAAGAAGTCTGAAGATCAGGACTGAAGGGCGGGTGGGGTAAGGTTTCTCAATGAAATCCTCGCAGGGCGGCCTTGGCTACCCGTGACAGATGCACAGGTGCACGACTGTGACGGGAAAACAATCCTCAACCCAACTCCCCTGGCCCTTTTCCCACCGGTGCCGTTTTCCATTTCTTGAACGCCCCTCCGACAGGGCCCTGGTCGCCCCGCGCCCTAAAGCTAGTGAGACCACCCCTTTGGTGTTTGAAAACAGCTGCCACCTCTTTCCGAGCTGAGCCCCTAGGGAGCCATTCAGCTGATGGGACCTTATTTATTAAAGGCTCTCAAATGAGATGAAGACGAGTAAATCAGTGAGTTTGTCTGCAGCCAGCCCCTGATCGCAGAGCCACGTTTCAACACGGTTCGTTGGGAACACACCCTTGCACAGCTGAACTGGAATCCTGGTAGCAATACTTCTTGACTAACCCTCGTATGATGAAGCTGTGCGGTAGTTTACGAATCTTGCCATGGCAGTGTAGAACTTTTCCTTTTTTTTCAATTGAGAACTGGGTAAAGGTTTACAAAACAGATGGTCAGTTTTACGTTCAACCATCCCTACGCACTTTGCTTCATCTCATTCCTGTCCTGGATGTAGACGCATTCTTTTTCCTGCCAAGGGCAGTGCTGGCTGGCCTGAGCTGCATCCTGTTCGGGAAGGGGGTGTGGTGGGAGGGGGATGCAAATAGGCAAGACCCTCAGACACTCTTTGTTGGGCTGCCCTGGTCTCCTCCCCTCCTGGGACCCCCTCAGGGTATGAGGATGGGGAGTGGGAGCTAATGGTCATCTCTGAGAGCCTGGAGGGCACTGGAGGGGAAGGGCAGGCCAGGGCCCCAGGTGAGTCCCACAGGGCTATGCTAGCCTGCAGATAGCTAGTTATTGTGCTTCCCTTCCTGGGGGAAACCCCCCACCCCAACCTGAAAGGGAAGATAGTATTCTATGGGCGGGAAAAGAGGAAACAAAGGGGGGAGTGGAGACAAGGGAAGGTTTGATAAATAGTTTAAATTAATGAATACAAAACTGACTATCTGAAATGTAAACCCTCATCTGCTTCATAATAAAGAGGCTAAAGGGCACAAAATATAAATCCAGACTGAGCCACAGTGTAGCAGTGTATCACAAGACAAAATGCAAATACATACTGAGTCACGGTGTAGCAGTGTATCATGACACAAAATATAATTCCAGAC